GACAGTCTTTCCAGACTTATTGCACATTACTCCCTTTCACCTACTCTATTATTCTTCCAAACTTGCTGTTTCCTATACATGATATCACACTTCTCACCTTTGTTCTTTTTTTTCCCCACAGTGATTTCCATGTTCAGGATGCTTTTCCTCCTCACCTAAACCTCTTGGAACCAACCCTTATCTTTCTTCAGCTGCTGCCTCAGTCAAGAGGACTTTCCTGATCCTCTTCCCCTCTACCCCCATGTTAATACTTTCCCCACCTCTGTGTAGTTATTTTGAATATATTACATATTTACTTATCTTTGAAAAAGTTGTATTTCCCCATTGAACGTTAACTTATAAGCAGACTACTCAGTTTTCGATTTGTATTCCCAAGAGCTGGCACAGAGCCAGGCACACTCATCTGTAGATTCCTATACCACAAATGGGGAATGGAGGTGATAAATGAAAAGTCCAAGAGACATAACGGGCAATTAATAATCAATTTATTAATTATGGCTGGCAAGTAATCAATAAAATGAGGTCAGTGGCCTTCTCAGAAGTCAAAGACAAACCTTGGAGGCCCCGAATGCTTAAACACCCTTGGAAGAATGGGTGTTCCTGACAGGCAGAAACCAACTCTGATTGGTTAACAATTAATGAGAGAATGAATATATATAATGAGAGGTGGGCCTGTTCTGATGAGGGACTGAGAAATAGGTTTCTGATCATGTCACTCTTGGACAAAAAGGCTTGTCTCCACACTCAGATCATACACCTCCAGCAATCTATACATAAGGATCTATCCTCCAACCAGACCAGTTATGTAGTTATACAATGGGCTAGAATTCACCTAGATTAGATTCTCTTTACCTTTAATCAGAACTAACTTTTCCCAGTTGAGTTGGGTCCTGTCCAAGATTGAGGAGAATATTAACCCAATCTTATCATTAGCCCTGTCCTTCAGAAGCTGCTTTGACTTAGTCTTTTTTTTTTTTTTTTGTGAGGAAATCTGGGTTAAGTGACTTGCCTAGGGTCACACAGCTAGTAAATGTTATGTGTCAGAGACCAGATTTGAACTCAGGTCCTCCTGACTCCAAGGCCAGAGCACTATCCACCGTGCCACCTAGCTGCCCTGAGTTAGTCTTTAAATGAGGAAATAGGGGGAAAAAACCTTGGATCCCCCTGATATGAGCAATTGGTTATTAATAATAATTTCTCTCAGGGAAGATGCATTGGTTTGTTCCCCAGTTGGAACATTCCTTTGCCTCTGATTCTGTGGCATAGCTACTAATGCCATCTACTTGTCTGGTGAACTCATTTGCTGGGTTGCTTTCACCCAGTGGTGTGCTGGAGTCAGTTTGCACCAGCTCAGGAGGGCCAATTGTTAAATTTTCACCGTGAGCATTAATACCTTGGAAATCATCAAATGGCACAAATCAGGACTTGATTTGTTGTTTTGTTGATTGTCTAGACCAGTGGTGTCAAACTCAAATAGAAATAAGGTCACTAAACTATACATAAGGATCCCTTCAGCCCATACATTGACTTAGAAAACCACACATTTTATATTTATTTTTTAAAAAAAATTAATACATTGACAAATTAAAATCAGATAGGAACTACATTTTAATCTGATTTGTCATGCACTAGATAGTATTGTGGGTTGCAAGTAGCCCACAGATGTGTTTGACACCTCTGATCTAGACCAGAGGACGGAGAAAAGGTTAAAAATGCAGATTAAATTTAAAAGTGTGTCATGCATACATTTCCCCAGTTAGCCTGTTGTTAAACCAGCTCACCACTGTTCTTGCATCTGATCTGGTGTCATTTGTTGGACTCTCGTTTCCTTTGCATTGCCACCTCCTGGCTCTCTGCTGAATTGTAGCAGTTGTGTTGCTTCTCTTTATATGGAAGCAGTTAGACTACTTCTGTGGTAACATAGGTAGAGATGCAACCTGACAACTATTTCTGTGGGTACTAAAGACCTTGCCTCCTCAGAAACCATAACTACTAAAGAGCCTGAAAAAAAGTTCTCACCACTCAAGTCCTTGGCATTGTCAAATGATTCAATACCTAAAACAGATATTGAACAATTATTAAATGGATGGCAATTCCATTGAGCTCCAGGCAAGCAGAATCTACAGGCCTGACTTGCTTTTTCATTAAGTTCCAGGTAGGCACTATCTGCAGTCATCTTTATCTTCTCAGAGCTTGTCTTGCCTCTGTGCTGCTGCCCCTCCATACAGCAACCTTAGATCTCCTGAACTTTAAAGTCGTGGGACAATTCTACTAGAGGATGAAGCCCTGTTGCAAATGGTCCAATGAATCTCAAATGATCTCTCCTTGACCTATTTTCCAGGTCAGTTGTTTTTGTATGAGATAACCTACCTGGGTGAATTCTTCAATGACTAAGAAACTTCTACCCCATCATGCCTACAGAATCCCAGTGATTCTGAATGTCCAAATGCCATTGATTAAGTCCAATTATTCATCTTCCACTGACTGCTCCTTTATTCCCCTTTTCCTTAACTGAACTCCTCTTCCAACCTCCCAATTTAAAGCTATCCAACCTTTCCATATATCCTATAGAATGTTTGGTCTATAGGTAATGAATTGGATTTCATCTTAAATCCCTCCATCTTTTTGCTTCCACTAAAAATATGGCTCTCTCTCCTGATGTCATTTTCTCTGGCTATCCTTTCTATGACCTATTGCATTTTCACTCATTTATCCAGACTCCCTAGTCATGGTGGGGGAGTTGAATTACTCCTTCATACCCAATGCCACTTCCAGTGTATTTCTTTACTGCAATTAATCAGTAACTTTTCCTCCTTGGAGGTTCATTAAGTAGATATTTATTACCCAATCAAGATTCTGGTAGCTGTTTTCTGTAGAAACACTGGACAAGTCAATTAACTGCTGTTCTGCTTCAGTAAGGGCAACTAGTAGGTACAGTGTATAGAGTGACACGTCTGAGTCAGGAAGATTCATCTCCATGAGTTCAAATCTGGCCTCAGACATTTACTAACTGTGTGACCCTGGGCTAGTCACTTTTCTCTGTTTGCCTAATTTTCTCATCTTTAAAGTGACCTAGAGAAGGAAATGGCAAACCACTCTAGAATTTTTCGCCAAGAAAACCTAAACTAGGATCACAAAGAATCAGATATGACCGAACAACAACAACAACAACTGTGTAGACTAGAAAATTGGTTGAATTTTACACTTTTGAAGTAGGCATTGTATACACAGTTAGATAAAACTTAATCTTTATGTCTTATGATTCCTAGAGTCAGAAAGTTTTCCCTAATATCACAGAATCTGAAAGTTGGAAAGGGCCTAAGAGGCTATGCTCCAGTCCAACCTGTATTTGAACAGAAATCTTTTTTTTTTTTCCAATAGCCCTGACAAGTATAGCCCGAGGACTGCAAGAGAAGTGAAACATGCCACCTTCTGAGAAAACTCATTCCACTTTTAGCTCTAATTTTCAGGAAGCTTTTTTCCCTCTCACATTAAGCCTTAATTTGCCTCTGTGAACCTTCCGTCACTCTGTTCTTAGTTCTACTTTTTTGGGGCCATGCATAATAAGTCAAATCTATTTTCTCACAGAGTAGCCCTTCAAATATTTGAAGACAATTATCATGTCCTCCTTAAGTCTTCTATTTTTTAGGATAAATACTTCTAGCTTTTTTGTATAAAACTTGCAAAGCATCATCTTGAGTCTCATTACTATTCTGTTTGCCTTTTTTTCTACACACTCCATCTTTTTAATATCCTCCTTACAACATGTTGTCCCAGAACTTAATATGATATCCTATATTTGATCTGATCAAGGCAGAGTACTATGGAACTATCACCTCCTTCATTTTGGACACTATTCCTCTTTAAATATAGCCTAATGGCTTTTTAGTTTACGTAATGATGCTGTGATGCAAGGTTAACTTATATTGAGCTTTTAGATAAATAACACCCCCAGATCAATTTTACACAAACTTCTGTCTAGCTCTCTCTCCTTCATCCTGTATTTAAGAAGTTGTTTTTTTGAATCCAAGCATAGAACTTTACATTTGCCTCTATTGAATTAAAATCTTATTTGATTTTCTCCATAATTTAAGGCTGTTTAAAGGCTATGTTTAAAAAAAATTCTTAAAATTTTTTTATTGATATCTTTGTTTTTGCTTTACTATCACTTCCAAATATATCTTTGCCTCCTTCCCTACTCAATGAGCCATCACTTGCAACTAAGAACAAAACAATAAAGAGAAAAAGGTAGTTTAGCAAAACCAGTTAACATATCAACTAAGTCTGACAAGCACTGCACAGAAATATTTCCTTTACCCCCACAATGAAGGGAGAGAGATGCAGTTTCTTAATTCTTAATTCTTTCTTAACTCTTTCAAGTTTAATCAGTATAATTATACAGAATTCAGTTTTTTGTTCTTTCCACCTATATTATTGTAGTTGTGCATAGTTTTCTTGATTCTGCCCATTTTACTCTGCATCAATTCATTTAAATCTCCCTATGCTTCTCTAAATTCTTCATATTCATAGTTTCTTTTAGCAAAAATATTCTATTACTTTCATGTGCTAAGATTTGTTTAGTCATTCTTTGGCTGATGGGCATGTACTTTGTTTCCAGTTATTTACTACCACCAAAGGGCTGCTATGAATATTTTAGTATGTATATTACCTTTTTTGTTGTCTTTGACCTCCTTGGGTCATATGACTAAGAAGTAGGCTTTCTGAGACTAAGAACATGGCCATTTTAATCACTTTTTCTTAGTGTAGTTACAAATTCCTTTCTAGGAAATTGGTTTTCCAGTGTGTTTGAACCATTTTACACTCTACCAGTGCCTATCTTTCTTCAGGTCTCCCAACTATTGACCATTTTTGTCTTTTGATATCTTTGTTAATTTTGGTGTGTGAGCTGAAACCTCAAAGTTGCTTTGACTTTTATTATCTTATTATTAATGATTTGGAGCTATTTTCCATATGATTGTTAATATTTTGTAAATTTTTTTCTAGAAATAGACTGCTTCACAAATTTGCAACTTATCCTTATGCAACAGGCAATGCTAATTTACTCCGTATTGTTTTAATTTTAGTTACTGTGCTGCTGAAGTGAGCACAGAAGAACTGTTTGTTCATATTCTTTGATTATTTTTTCATTGGGAAATTACTCAATCAAATATATTTTTGTTAATTCCTTATGTATGTGAATATCAGACTCTTATCAGAGATTATTCTAAGCAAAGATCTTTTCTCCCAGTTGATACTTTCTCACCTTATCCTGGCTGTACTGATTCTGTTCACGTACAACCTTTTCAATTTCATGCAATAAAGATTATCTATTTTATCTTTTGTCATTTTTTAAGCTATGCCTCTAGATTATCCCCAATCAACTTTATAGACCAGTTAGTGCGCTCTCTTCCTTTCCAATGAAAGACAAATTCCTTGGCCCAAGTCTTAGTTATTCCTTATGTGGACTACTGTGTCCTCACTTTTGCATTCACTAGTTTTAGCCATGTAGTCAAACACCTATATCAGATAATATTTCATTCTGTACTTAGTCTTTATCTCTTCATTCAACCCAACTGCCCATGTATTATTGCAATCATATGAACAATATCTTTATCAATTTATCCTGTTTCTGAGCTCTTTGCCAAATTTCTTATGATTAATTGATACTGAGAAAGAGAAGAATGATAGGGAGAGAGTGAGAGTGCAGTTTAGCTGGAAGCATAGAAGATAATGTCCCAAGACAGAAAATATATTTAGGCAAGGGTAGATGAATAACTTGAATCATTGAGGAAGAAGAGGGATTGGGATACTGAAAGGTCATATTATTGGTCATGGAAGTGCTAGAGGAATGCAATTATTTGCTTAGCACAAATACAGATTTTCTCAGAGACTAAGCTCCTCTTATAGTCTTACTCAAAGGCTGTGCTAAATGACTAGTTCATTATAGATATGGGTACTAGTACTTTCAAATCATGTTAATTTCATTTTCTGGTGAATAAGGCACACAACAAAAGGAGCAATGAAAAGGTAGCATCCCCAACCTCAAAATAGTTTGCTAGGCATGTGGTGATGAGAGAGTGGATAGCATGCCCTTTCTAAGAAATGGAATGTTGCTGAAGAGGACAGTATTTGGACATAAAGGTCATGTGGATTAGGGAAAATAAGGCCGCTAGGTATAGTAATTATGTAGATTATTAGCTAGTTTTAGGGAATCCCAAGGACAGAAGAGAAGAAATAGCTTTTCACACCTACTTATTGTATATTGTGATGCTTTCTGTCGTTTAATAAGCTTGGAAGTCAAGGCTAGATTCACAGTGACTAATTATTTACTCCTGAGCACTTGAGTTTGTCATTTTGGTAGGTGCTGTCATATTAACAAGGATGAATGATTATTAGTGAATGGACCCAATGGAGAGACTCACCTTGGGTATAGATAACTGAGAGAAATAAATAACACACAATTTTTTTCTATAAAAGTCTTAACTAATATCCTATATTACGTAACTAAATACTAATTAATTATTCTCAAAAAACTATATACTTTAGAACCTCTTTAAAAGAAACATAAATGCCTAAGTATATCTTAACACCTTCTCTTCAATGGTTGTTTATGACCTTAGGTAAACTTTTCTATATATTCTAAAAAACAAAACAAAACAAAACACCTTTTACTTAATTTCACCCTCAGTACCCTTAGACATTGAAAAACTTTGGTCCTCAGCTTGTCCATAGTCTATGGAAAAGTCATACAGTTAAAAAAAAAAACCAAACCAATACAAAGCAAAACAGAAAAATCCTACGATGTGGGATTTTCTGCTGTTGTCTTCCTTAATTAAAAGTATTCTAATGGCATAGCCTTACTGCAAGCTACCTACCTACTTGAATAATTTTTCTCCTCTAAAGAATACAAGTCTCTTTGCTTATTCAGTTTTCACCCATTGAAATTAATTCGAAAGAATTCTATGCTTTCCACCAGTCCTGACCATCAAATCAAATTCTTCTCTTACTGGCTCCTTGGGAGGATGGAAGCCATATAGCACTTAGGGAAATCCATTCTCTTCTACTAAGACCTAACCAGGGTCTTAGTTTGGCTAGTTTTGATTATTGGTTCAGAAAAGGTGATTTGATATAAGTGTTCTGATCCCAGTTGGTGGTTAAGGTTTGGAAGTTATTGTGATCTAGAGGAAAGAGGTTGGAACTAGGAGGTAAGAGACAGAGAATCTGGATCTGGCTTTCCTAATGACTTGCTGTGAGACCATAAGCAACTTTAATTTTCTCATCTGTAAAATGAGTATTGCAATACACAATTTACTTAACCTCACCATATTGTTAAGAGAGTAAACTGAGATAAAAAGTCTGGAGAAAAACTTTCAAAAACTTGAAAACTGCTCTTCAATTGTAAGACTTTGTTTACATTCTGAGGATTCTTATTTCCTGTTCCCTCTTTGTCATCCATGAGGTGGTCAGTGCTCAATGAAATCTAGTTAGGATTTTGGTTGCTTTCACTTTTTTCCATCTCTGCTTCTCAGTCTTTCCAACTCAAAGTAGTCAAAATAACACTAGTCTTATAGATCTGAGTTTTGAGTCCTATCTTAAGTTTTTACTAACTATATTACATTAGGCAAGCCACTTACTCTCCATGTACCTCAATTTCCTCATCTGTAAAATGGGCATGATAATAATTACATCAATTCTCTCAAAATGTTAACACAAAGAAAGCACTTGGTAAACCTGAAAGTGATACACAAATGTTAATTCTTATTATCTTGTTCATTTTACATAAAAATAGTGTTCTTCTCCCAGCTCAGGTACCATTAAACCTATTTCATATAAGTTTTTTTCCCCTCCATCTTCTTGTCCCTTTCATTTCCTGTGGGATGAAAAGTGTGTGTGTGAGGCACAATTCCCAGAACCATCCAATCATAGTCTGGCTATTCCCAAGTTGCAGCAGCATTATTTGGTCACTAACATTCAAGGCTGTTAATTAGCTGCCGTTTGTACTAAGGAAAATGGCATATAGTGATTTATGATGAATGTGGACATTGTATTGCTATCCAGAATGTTAAGAAGTCAGAGCTTCTCTGACCCTTGGAAGATGTTGCTGCTTCAGTCCAGAGTTCAAAGAAGGTAGATTTTTGAAAGCAATGTTTTTGAATTATCAGGAAAACACAATTTAAATTTGTAATCTCCATCTTTTTATCCCTATTTCCCTCTTTCTCAATCTACTTCTTATATTTTTCTTTGATTTATTTGAGAGAGGAGAACTAAGATCATTGGATGAAAGGTATAGGAGATATTCTGATTCAATTAAATATCACATTCATTAAATGTTTACTATGTGTGAGGCACTGGGGACAAAAATGAAAAAAAAAATGCCTCTCCTTTTTCTTATGGAATTTGTAATCTAATGGAATAAGGCATGTACCTCAATAATTGTGGTTCAAGGATAATAGGGATGTTTCAAAGGATAGGTTGTGATGAAATTATAAAAGAATTTTGAGAAGGAAGAGATCACTTTTATCTGAGGTGAGTGGAGAGGGTAAGTTAGGGAAGGTTTAAAGGAAGAGGTAGCATATAAGCTGATGGTAATATCTACATACCAATGGAAGTCAAGGGCACCAAAAGGCAAAGATAGTGGAAGGTCTTGGACCACAGGTAGGATGGAACTCAGTATAAAAAAGAACTTAATTATAATGGGAGTTGTCAAAAAATGAAATGGGTAAGTTTATAAGGGACTATATTCCTGTACACTAGAGGTATTCAAGCAGAGAATAGGTAAAATTTTGAGGATGCAATAGAAAGGCAGGAATCTGAAATAGATGAGGTCCATGTCAGTCTAGTTTTGGATAGCTCCAGTCATTATTATTATTATTATTATTGTTATTATTATTACTATTTATATTCAGTTCCAATCTTCTTGGGGACCAGGATCCTCCATATCTCTGTCTTTTGAAATACATTTCCAGAAACAGGAAATAAATGTAGGTGGCTGAGATTTGGGAAGGTTTTGTGGAAGAGGTCTATCTGAGTTGGGCTTAGAAAAATGGGTGTGAATATGACATATGGAAATGAGGGGAGGAAGCTACTTCAGGTGGAAGGAATGGTGTGCTGTTTTTTAAATCCTGTCTTTCATTTTCTTTTTCTATACTTTTCTACTTTTATTTCACATCCCCTTACTGCTTGTCATGGATTATAAGATCATGGATTATAGATTTATAGCTGGAAAGGACTTTAGAAACTACTTAGTCCAATACCTCATCTTATATAGGAGGAATATGAAGCCCAGAGAGGTTAATTTATTTTTTCAGGGTCATCCAGTTAGTGAATGAGAGGGGCAGGATTTCAACAGGTCCTCTGATTCCAAAACCGCTTCAAAAGTGACTTTCCCAAAATCACTCTTCCTTCTGTTTCACATTGATGTGAATAATGGTGTAATAAATCCTTAATTTGAAATTTATCTTCCAACTTTCCTGAACTCTCAAGTTTCCTCCAACAATTTTTACTACTATCTCAGCTGTCATAATGATACAATCTAAAGTTATGATCAATTCTTTCCTCCTAGCTTCCTCTTTTTTCTCTTTTTGGAACTACATTTCTCATGACCTTTGTTCAGGTAAATCATCTTCTCACAGGCTACAGAGGAAACTGGTGTACCAGGTGGAGGGGAAGAGAATCTTCAGTCTGTCTCAAAGGTGAGTATGGCATCAGTTTCTCCTTGGAAGCCATTGTTTTACATATTTGATGGTACCCATTCAGTACTTGGGTAGGGTCATTTCCAGAGCTCAGATGAGACTGATCAGTATTTTTTCTGACTTGGTAACTTTGGGTAGAGTATGGTCATTGATTCTGTGGTTTGGAGACAACATGGCTTAGTAGAAAGCAGACTGGATTTGGAGTCAAAAGATCTGGTTTCTAACTTTAGTTCTACCACTTGGTAGTTGTATGACTTTGGGCAGGTCACTTTGCTTTTCTGCTTCTTGGTTTCATCATCTGTGAAATGAGGAGGAAACTAACTAGATGATCTGTAAATTTCCCTCTAGCTCTAAATCTTTTGGCTGGAATTAGTAATCATTCAGATCTGGGGTACTAAGAGCTGACCCCCATTCTCCTGGTATGCAGGGAGGGCTTAATGCTAAGAGATAGTGGCACTGGTCTAGAGCAAACAAGAACCCCAAGAATGTCTCCCTAATCTAAATGTCTTCCTAGGAGGGTTAAGCAAATACCGTCCACAAAGACAGTGCCAGGATAGTACAGTGGGATTACCACTCCTAGAAGCAGACCTAGGTTCATATCTTAACTTTGACATTTTTACCTGTGTGACACTGGGCAAATCTCTGTGGGTATCTGTTTGCTCATCAGTAAAATGAGGGGGAGTTGGATGAGATTGAAGTTCCTTCTAGCTTTAGCTCTCTGAATCTATGAAGATTAAATGCTAGCTATTCACACATTTGCATGGATTATTTTAATTGCTTTCATTCTACCTTGATCTGTCTTACAGAAAAAGAAAGCCTTTTGAATGGCATTTAAACTAGTTGGAATGTAAGAAAGACTTTAGATAGGACAATATATGAGATCACTGGGTACCTGAGGAGCAGAGAAGGAATACAGAAGGAGGAGGTGAGAGTAGGAGGTTGGAGAGCATTAAAAGCAAATATTACCTATTTTGTAATTTTTCTGAGAGTCCTGGTGGTAAAAACTGTCCCCTTTCCTAGGAGAAACTACCTCCATGAACTTTTTGCTATCACTGTCATAAATTGCTGAAGGAAAAGGAAAGGGAAGGGAACTGGTTCTTATTATATGCCGGGCACTGTACTAAACACTTTACAAATGTTAACGTATTAGATGATTTGATACATCATTTCAGTTATGAACATGGAAAGGAAGGAGGCAGCATGGTACAGTAGAATGGCTGATGGGTCTGGTGTCAAAGGAGCTGGGTTTGAATCCTAGTTCTGCCATTTTCTACCTGTGTGATTATGGACAAATCTCTTAATCTCTGTAGACCCCAGTTTCCTCATCTATAAAATGAAGGGGTTGGATTAGTTGACCTTTAAAATCCTTTCCAGCTTTAACTCTATCAGGAATTATTTTAAGATAGCACTTTAAATGACTCTAACTATAAGTATAGAATGTCAAATAGTCTATCAATTTATATCCAGCCTGTGGGTGATAAGCCTTTCCATAGTTACTGAGGTTGTTCCTCAGGCAGCAGTCAATCTGTTGTCTGGACTTTACTATGATATACTAAGAGTGATAACTGCGCTCCTTCTCACTTTGGATGGTTTCATAACTCTTTAGTTGTAGACAACATCAATAAGAGCCCATAGCAGAGTATCTCAAATCCCTTGGATGTAGGATTTCTTCACTCCACTATCAGGATTGTATGAGTAAATGTCAACATAATATTGGGATGGATAAATAGAAACATGAAGCACAACTATAAGTAAATAATTCTGTTCTTAGACCTATCATTTGTCAGATTCATTTTAGGACCATTTTATGTCTCATCTTACTTGATATATTTAATAAACAATTGGTTGAGACTGGAGGAGAGAACAACCTCCAGAGAGAGCAACCAAAATGATGGCAAACAACAGAAAACAGATTTCATAAGGAGAGATGAATAGGGTATCCATTCTGGAAATAGGAAGCTTTTATTTCAGCATAGTGAAGAACTTATAACTTTTAAAACTTCCAAAATTGGAATGGTAATAGTGAGTTTCTTTTCATTGATGGTATTCAAGAAGGCTGTATGACCACTTGAGGGGGATTTTTTTTTTCATGGTAAAGACTTTTCTTAACATACAGTAATACTGGAACACACAAGCAGCATTTTTATAGCAGTTTTATGAGTGTGAATATTGAAAGATACAACAGTAGTGCGGGGATGATTGTATAATTGTTTTAGAAAATTATTGTATATGTGTAGGAAATGAGTAGAAGTCCAGGCTGTAGAGAAATAGAAAAAGCTTCAAAGTGCCTATTAAAGAATAGCAGCAAGAGGAGAGAGGAAAAAGATAGTAGATTCCCTTTCCTAATTCTTTATCCTTCCCTCATTAATACTCCTTGTGCTACTTCGGTTGTTTCTCTTAATAGTGCCCAATGCATTTCCCATTCTTCTGGACATTCCCTCTTTCTTAGTCACATCTTTTTCCCTTCCCCCGTCTTCCTTTCCCCCTCCCCCCCCCCCCCACATCCCATTCCTTTTCACTTCTAGATTTCTTTTCTATGAAGCATTATATGGAGATATGTTTGACTTAAGTCAAAATAGAAAATGAATATAACTGACACATTTTGCCTTGTTGAACATTACTGGCAATTAATGAGATTTAAGGCAGCAACAAACTACTCCCTATGATATACTCCTATATTGGATTTGGTCATCCCTAAATTTTCCAGTGTCTCACATTGTATGTATCTAGTACCCTCTGGAATATTGATAAAGACCCAACATTAATTTGAAGTTGGAATCTCTCAGAAACATGTCATGTTAGAAATGCTACCAGGAGGTATCAAGAAATCAGACATGGTACAAAATTTAAAATTAAGTACAATAACAAACATTTAAGTGCCTACTATGTGCAAGATCTTGGGGTAGAAATACAAAACCGAAACAATGTCTCCTCTCAGGGAGCTTACAATTTACTGGTGTGATACAACTATGCAAATAAGTATGGTAATAATGATAAAAGCTAGTATTATATACATAATACTTGAAGGTTTTCAAAGTGCTTTATAAATATTATCTCAGTTTATCCAAGAAAATAGAGGAGAGAGAGTACTAAAAAAGTCCTCTAAGAGCATGTATTGGTGGTGGGGAAGGGAAGAGTGGATCAGGAAAAACTTCACAGAAGATGCTAAAGGCAGAGGAGAAGTTTGAAGAAAAAAAGGTTTTTGAGGAGGCAGTGCATTCCAGGCATAGGAGTGTCTTGTATCGGGACATTATAAGTTATTATCAATAAGAAAGCTAGACAATGCAGTGGATAAAGTTTTGGAATGGGAGTCAGAAAGATCTGAGATTGAATCAGGTCAAGTCACTCAAGCTTTCTCGGTCTCAGTTTCCTCATTTGTAAAATGAAGGAAATAGTCTCAATGACTTCTAAGGTCTCTTCTAGTTCTAAATCCATCACCCTATGATTGTGGATAGTTATCCAGCCATACAACATGATAAGTCAGTATAGGAGTTTTGAGGTTGGAGCCCCTATCCACTCAAGCTGTCTGCTTTTGATACCAATAATTGTATTTTCTTCTTACTATTTTCTTCAGGTAAATTCCAGAATCTACTCTGCAAACTGAGTTAATGGATGGATCAAATGAGTCTGTGGTGTATGAGTTTGTTTTGTTGGGACTCACAAGTTCTCAGGAGATGCGAGTTTTTCTCTTTCTGTTCTTCTCAGTGTTTTATGTGGCGAGCATGCTAGGAAACCTCCTCATTGTACTGACAGTTATCGCTGATGCTCGATTACACTCACCCATGTACTTTCTGCTGGCTAACCTCTCTTTCATTGACACATGTGTTTGCAGTATTGCAACCCCTAAGATGATTTCTGATCTCTTCAGAAAATACAAAGTCATCTCTCGGAATGGCTGCACTACCCAGATGTTCTTTATTCACACAGTTGGAGATACTGAGATGGTGCTACTTGTAGTTATGGCCTTTGATCGATACATTGCAATATGTAAACCTCTTCACTACCTGACCATTATGAGCCTGAGAAGGTGCATCTTGCTTTTGATGGTGTCTTGGATTATTGGCTTTATACATTCTATGATGCAATTGGCTTTTGTTGTAAACTTACCTTTCTGTGGCCCTAATAAAGTAGATAGTTTTTATTGTGATTTCCCTAGGTTCATCCAGCTTGCTTGCATGGATACCTATAGACTGGAGTTCTTGGTCACTGCTAACAGTGGCTTCATTTCCATGGGCACTTTTTTCATATTGATTATTTCTTACATCTTCATCCTGGTCACTGTTCGTAAACATTCTTCAGGTGGTTCAACCAAAGCCCTCTCCACCCTGTCAGCTCACATTACAGTAGTGATCTTTTTCTTTGGTCCATGCATCATTGTCTATGTATGGCCATTCCCCACATTGCCAATAGATAAGTTTCTTGCCATCTTTGATACACTTATCACCCCTTTTATGAATCCTGTCATCTACACATTCAGGAATAAAGAGATGAAGGTAGCAATGAGGAAGCTGTTCAGTAATATAAGTTCTAGGAAGTTGTCTTAAATACAGTCTGAGGCTGTCAAACAGATTGGAGACACAAGTGTAGCTGCTGAGATATCAGAAGTCATTTTAGTTAGTGTTTAAATGCTGTGGTGGGATAAAGTCTCTCTTCAGGATTCTTATTCACAATTTGCTAAATCCTTCCTAGGATTCTACACTCCAAAGACAATTGAGAAGACAAGGTTGTACAATGGATAGAGAATGTGGCTTGGAGTTAGCAAGACCTGAGTCTGAGACTATAACTTAATGTCTTTCCTGTTATTATTCAAGACTGTCCTGATGGTTATTATCACATATGGTGAGCCACTTTGGCTCACTGGATCATTAAGATCATAGAACAAATAAAACAACAAGGCATATTACCTGAAAATTATGCAACACTATGGAATAATTGCTCACACTGGTCTTTTTGTCATCATTTTTTTTAGTCAATCAAAAATGGCATAAATTCTATCAAGTTTTCTTCATCCATTGGGAGAAGACGGGACAGGAGCAGATGGGATATCTATGATCAGAGTGAGAGACATGCCCAATTATTAATGAACTTTCCCCTGGCCAAGAATTTAATCCTACCTTAGATACTTAATAGCTGAGTGACCAAGATTAATTCTCTTAACCTCTCTCCCTTCAGTTTTCTCATCTCCAAAATAGAGATGGACTTTATGGGCTCTAAGTTCCCTTTAAGCTCTAAATAGTTAGACATTAGATTCAGAATGAGACTACAATATCCTTCCTGGTCATTATTCAAGACTGTCTTGATGGCTGTTATCACACATGGTGGGCCCCTTAGGCTCATCAGATCATTAAGACCAAAGAGACAGAATGGACCTTAGAGGCCCTCTAACCAAGCCTCCTCATTTTTACAGGTGAGGAAACTGAGGCCCAGGGAAATTAAATAATTTACCCAAGTTTACATAAGTACTAAGTGGGATATGAACTTAGATCTTTTGGTTCCAGACCCAGTACTCTTTCCATTGTAACTTGCTGCCTTCAATCCCTTTTTAAAAAGTTGGAATACAATAGGAATAGGGACTGAATCAGAATTCATTGATATAAGTAACTACTTCACTTTGCTACTACTTAGTAAAGCAATCTGACACTTCCTCTGGCACATAGAGAGCTGCCTAGAGCATTGAGAGGTTAAATGACTTGTCCTGGGTCACACAACCAGTGAGTGTTAGCAATGGAACTTGAAGCTAGGACTTTTTGTCTTTGAGGCTGACTTTCTCTCACTATACCATGTTGCCATTTTCCTTACCTTTTTCGATAAAACTGTTATTTGGAAGCTACTCTCAGGGACACAAGTGCAATCTTTTGGATACTGTACTTGAATTTTTCATTTAAGTCATTTTCTATATAATTTCACACATGTTTTCTGAACAAATATCACACCCTATTGTAATATCTACGTTCTTGTTGTGTTTACTTAGTGCCTTTTCTTGATTCTTTCTTTCTTTCTTTCTTTCTT